GGAAGAAGCATTAAGAATGATAAAGGCAGAATATTATCTGGGTAAGATCTTTATGTACATCACTTAGTGCACCACTACTGACCATCTGTACAAGTCTTGACATATCTTCCAGACTATGAATGTGCCAGATGAGTCATACAGTCATGCAGAATGGCAACAGGCCCTTTGGCCCAACTCGTCAAGGCCGACCAGGTTTCCTAGACTGAACTCATCCCATTTGCCTGCATTTGGCCCGTATCCCTCTCAACCTTTCCTATCCATGTACATGTCCAAATGTCTCTTCAATGTTGTAATTGTATTTGTCCCTACCACTTCATCTGGGAACTCGTTCTATACATGCAAGTCCCTTTTAAATCTTTCCTCTCTCACCTCGAACCTGTACCGTCTAGTTTTGGACTCCCCTACCCTGGGACAAAGACCTTGGCTATTCACCTTACCTATGCCCCTCATGATTTTATAAACCTCTATAAAGTCACCCCTCAGCTTCCTACACTCCGGGGAAATAAATCCCAGCCTATCCAGCCTCTCCTTATAACTCAAACCTTCTGGTCACAGTAACATGCTTATAAATCTTTTTTGCACCCTTTCCAGTTTAATAACATCTTTCCTGTAGCAAGGCGACCAGAATTGTATGCAGTACTCCAAATGCGGCCTCACCGTTGTCTTGTACAGCTATAATATGATGTCCCAACTCGTGTGCTCAATGCTCTGATCAATGAGGGCAAACGTGCCAAATGCCTTCTTAACCACCTGCATGGAGGGAATCAATAAAATGGAAAAGTCTATTTGACCACATCCTCACAATCTGGCTATAGCAGTGCATCTGTCCATGAGGATATTAGTAGGAATAATCAGTAAAGTGATGGAAGGCGTCATCAACAGTGCTATCCAGAAGCACCTGCTCAGCAATAACCTGCTCAATGATGCCCAGTTTGGATTCCGCCAGGGCCTCTCAGCTCCTGACCTCATTACAGCCTTGGTTCATACATGGACAAAAGAGCTGAATTCCAGAGGTGAGATGAGAGTGACAGCCCTTGACATTAAGGCTGCAATCAACTGGGTGTGGTATCCAGGAACCCTAGCAAAACTGGAATCAATGGGTATCAGGGGGCAAATTTTCCGGCGTATGGAATCATATCTGACACACAGGAAGATGGTTGTGGTTGTTGGAGGTTAATCGTCTCAGGTCCAGGCCATCTCGGCAGGATTTCCTCAGGGTAGTGTCCTCAGCCCAACCATCTTCAGTTGCTTCATCAATGACCTTCCCTCCTTCATAAGGTCAGAAGTGGGGATCTTCTTGGATGATTGCACAATGTTCAGCACCATTCACGATTCCTCAAAAACTGAAGCAGCCCCATGTTCAAATGCAACAAGATCTGGACAATATCCAGAGTTGGGCTGACAAGTGGCAAGTAACATTCGCGCACATAAATGCCAGCCCATGACCATCACGAATAAGAGACAATCTAACCACTGCCCCTTGACATTCAATGGTGTTACCATCACTGAATCCCCTACCACCAACATCCTGGGGGTTACCATTGACCAGAAACTCAACTGGACTCAAACATAAACACAGTGACTACAACAGCAGGAAGAACTGCAGATGCTGCAGTCAGAGTCAACACAGTGTGGAGCTGAAGGAACACAACAGGTCAGGCAGCATCAGAGGAACAGGAGAATCGACATTTCGGGTCAGGAGCCTTCATCAGGATTCGTCGACATTTCAGATTGGGACCCTTCTCAGTCCTGATGAAAGGTCCCGATCCGAAACGTCAACTCTCCTGTTCCTGTGATGCTGCCTGACCTGCTGTGTTCCTCCAGCTCCACACTGTGTAGACTGTGGCTACAAGAGCAGGTCAGAAGCTAGGAATATTGCGGCAAGTAACTCACCTCCTGACTCCTCAAAGCCTGTCCACCATCTATAAGGCACAAGTCAGGAGTGTGATGGAATACCCCCTACTTGCTCGGATGAGTACAGCCCCAAGAAGTTTGACACCATCTAGGACCAAGCAGCCTGCTTGATTGGCACTGCATCCACATGCATCCACTCCCTCGACCGCCTACGCTCAGTAGCAACAGTAAGTACTTTTTACAAGATGCACTGCAGAAATTCATCAAAGATCCTCGGGCAGCACCTTCCAATCTCACGGCCACTTCCATCTAGAAGGACGAGGACAGTAGATATATGGAAACACCACCACATTCAAGTTCCCCTCCAAGCCACTCACCATCCTGACTTGGAAATGTATCACCGTTCCTCCAGTGTCACTGGGCCAAAATCCTGGAATTCCCTCCCTAATGGCATTGTGGGTCAACTCACTGCAGGTGGACTGCAGCAGTTCAAGAAGGGAGCTCACCACCACCTTCTCAAGGGCAACTGGGGATGGGCAATAAATGCTGGCCAGCCAGTGATGCCCACAGCCCACAAATGAATATAAAAAAAATCATGGAACTTCCTAACTGCACTGTAAGTGTGCTTACACCCCAAGGAGTGCAGTGGTTCAAGAAAACATCTCCCCAGCATGGATACAAGAAATGCTTGCATAGCCAGGGACACCCACATTCTTTGAACAAATAAGTTCCACCTGGTAGCAGTGAGGGATCGGTGTGGGGGGTTGGGAATGTGGGGGTGGGGGCAACCTTCCCAGGCCTCCTCTCCAGCCTTAGAGTTGCTGCATTCTCAAACTTGTATGTATATCTGTATGTATACCTTTCTGGCCCTTAATGGAGTTCTTTAGTTAGAAATCCTTCCTTTGACAAATCTGGTGCATTATCTGCCCACTCTCTCAATTGGTCAGGGAACCTAGAAATGAAATACTAATGCCATGCCTCAGTTTAAGAGCTTGATGAAAATCCACTATGGATTTCAACCAATTCCCAATCCACTAATAGTCCCACTAAAGTTTTGAATATTCTGTAGTTTGTCATTGATTGCTGTCTAAAAAGACCATTCACCAGTTATGGAATCAGTTGCCTCTCCTGGCCACTATTTCAGGCAGCACCAGATTATTCACAGTGTCTTAGTTGACCCTGAGCTGAGCCATATCTCTCCAACAACAAGTCTGTCCCCTTCGACATTGATAATATCACCTTAATTCTGTTCTCACTTCATTCTATCTGCTATGCAAATCCTCATCCATCCTTTATTTAACTCCAGGCTCAATTATTCCAATGATTTCCTGGGGGTCTCCCATTTTCCACTTTCTATTCATTCAAAACTCATCCAATACCGGCTAGTCATTGGCTGACTTGCACCAAGACCCTATTACCCATCTCTGAACTCACTCACCTACATTTGTGGTCACCTGTGCCTTAGTTTTAAAATTCTCATATTTATTTACAAATTACATGGCCCTGCCCCTACAAACTCTGAGCCTCCCTGCATCCTACAATTGCTGGTCCTTTTCCACTCCTGGCCTCACATGCAGCCACCAGTTTCTTTGTCCCACCAGTGCTTTCTGTTGTCTAGAACTTAAGCTCTGGATTTCTCTGCTTAAGCCTCTCCACACCTCTTCCCCAATATGTGTTTCTTAAGATGTATCTGTTAACGAACCTTATAGTTTTAGTCCAAATTTCACCTTCATTGGTATCACTTTTTTCCTGATTACGATCGAGTGATTTGAGATCTAATACATTTATCTACATTAGGGTGCTATATAAATGCAAATAATTGTCAATTTATAGTCTATAATGGTATGTTTACTGATGAAAAATAGAAGCTTATGGAATCTTTTGTTACTGTAACTTTAGTGTCAATTCTTTTTAACTCAGTATCCATGCTCCATTTCAGTGATTGAGAGTGGAGCTCTATGTGTGTGACAGCCCTGGTGGCAGCTTGCTGGTGTAAGAAGGATACTGCTCATTGTGAACGGATATTGTAATTATTGGTCTGACTTTATAATTACACGCTTCGTGTATTTTTGTGCTCAACAAGTCAAATTTAGATTTAATGTTGGACTTGTATTTTCTTTACAAACTTGACTCGACAGATCTTTATTTGTTGAACCTAATTTTTTTTATTGAACCCAAAATAAGGTCAGAATTGGGAATGTTCACTGATGATTGCATATTGTTCAGTACTATTTGTGACTCCTACAATGCTGAAACAGTCTACGTTCATACGCAGGGAAAGCTGACAACATTTAGGCTTAAGCCACCAAATGACAAGTAACATTTGTGCTACACAAGTGCCAGGCAATTACATCTCCAACAAGAAAGAAACTGATCATTTCCTTTCGACATTCAGTGGCATTACCACCATTGGTTTCCCCCACTGTCCACATCAGTTCCCCCACAGTTACCCTTGATCAAAATCCAAATCGGAACAGCCATCTAAATACTGTGGCTACAACAGCAAGTCAGAGGCTGGGCATTCTGTGGCAAGTAACTTACCTCCTGACACTTAGAGGCCTCTCCATCATCTACAAAAAACAACTCGAGAGTGTAAGAAGCTCAACAATATCCAGGACAAAGCAGTCCACTTGATCAGCACTCTATCCACTATCTTAAACGTCCTCTTGCTTCAGCAGCGATGCATGTGACAGCAGTGTCCATTATATACAAGATACATATGTCTTTGTTACCACCTTATACACCTAGATAGAAAAGGGCAGCTGATCTATGTGAATTCCCCTGCAAGCCACACACCATCCTGACTAGAACTACATCGCCCTTCCTTCACTGTTGTCAGTTCAAATTCTTAGAGCTCCCTAAAAGCACTGTGAAAGTACATACATCAGATGGACTGCAGGAGTTCAAGAAGGCGGCTTATCACCACCTTCTCAAGGGAAGTAGGGATGGGTAGCAAACCTTGCTGGGCTCACATTTCTTGACAACAAATTACTTTTTGGTTTTACATGTATTAAATTGTGGAAGGGACTGCGAATAAACATTACTAAATTTCACCACGAAAACAGTGGTATTTAAAACATTTGTTGCTTTGATTAATTATTCATTATGTTAAACATACGTTGATAATCGAATCTTTTTTGGCACAGAATCACGGTTTAAGGAAAACTTCCTCCTTTGCGTCAGAGCAGAATATTGCTGAACCTCAGGTCCAACATCACTGACACTGCCAACTGAGATCGAAGATCCAAACAATATAATCACCATTCACTGATGTTGGAAACGCATTAGTCATATTTTGTTTTATTTTGAAAGATACGAATGTGATTATTTACTCAAATTTATTTCATTAAATGTGCTGTCGAAGTATTTTGTCGTTTTTAAAAAATAATAATATTTAGGTTGGGTAAATTCATAAAAAACATACTAAACAGTTTAGTAGCAAAAATAGCCACACGTTGTGAATTGATTTTCGGGTTGTAGTCAAAAAGTTCACCATGTTTTAACTTCACTTTCTTGTGTTCGGTAATATTAAAATTCTGTCACAATACAATTCTTGTTATGGCTTACAATGATGCTACGCGCCCGATGACAGAACAAGATAATCGATTGGATATTTTGCCGCACTTGTCCACCCTTGTGCGGAGTTCACATTATCTTGTCTAAAGTGAGCTGCCGACTGCAAAACCATTACTTTCGGATTTACCTGATTACTGAATCTTTGCTTCAGTTTGTGTTTTTAAGTATATTTCAGTCCATACGTGTGAATATTAGAGTATCGGAAACATCATCAACTTTAAATGAAAAGTATAAATGCAAAAATTTATACTGGAACATTATTCTTCTAACCCTTAAATAACACAGTGTGGTCCCGACCCGAAACGTTAGCTTTCCTGCTCCCCTGATGCTGCCTGGCCTGTTGTGTTCCTCCGGCTCCACACTGTTTTATCTCAGACTCCAGCATCGGCAGTTCTTCACTATCTCATTCCTCTAACCCTTTCCTCGCCGCTATTATTGTCACGTGAGCAATCGTTTATCTCTATTTAAACTAAATGGGTCAACACTATAACAAACGATTTAGCATTGACTGCGCTTAAGAAAAATGAAATGTTAAAATAATCGGGACTATTTTGGCTTCGTTGCACAACACAGAACAGATTTACTTGCATTCAGTCAGTGCTTTAAAGCGTTGTCTAAACTGTCAAAAAGTCCTTGCACGAACTAAATTTTGAAGCTTTTGTCAGTGTTAAGTAGAGAGTAATTTAAGAGATTGGATTATTTGGGGGCATTTTATAAGGACATTTTATCGTTCAAATTCAATTTTTAAATCCATCATTGGTATCTTCAATATAACATTTTATGATAAACGCCCGCTTTATTCCTGTGAATAAATGCTAAAGGGAAACAGGTAATGCATCCTGTTTCAATGGTGAATCGTACAGCAGTAAAACAAAGCTATTTCTCAGTAAAATGTAAACTTATTTAGTGAATTAACCATGTTCTAGATTTTTAAAAGAACATATAAATAGTTTTCATCATTTTAATATAAACCATAACATGATTTTTATAGACGATGTGTCATGAGAAACATTGCATTACTCGATGTGAGCTGAACAGCTCCCAGTGATTTTTGTTGTTCATGAGTTAAATTATATTCGAATTGGGGCGGGGTATTGATCTATCTCACAGTTCTTCCGTATTTCTGTTTATATCGCTAGTTAAGTCTTTGATATAAATGCAGTAAATTACTGTAAATAATACTAATGTTGTTCACTATTAGCACCAGTTTCTTTTCGTTAAATATAAAATATCACGCATTTGCTACAAAAACTGCTATTACATGTGGTATGGAATATGTTAACCCGTAACCCTGTGTAACTTTTATCTGCTAGAACGTTTCTTTATTGCAAACGAAAACTTGAAAATAGTGATATGATCATTTCAGTTACTTTACAAATTCATGCCATGAACCAGTCTCCAGTTGTGCATAATCAGTAATATACCATTTCTTTAATCGATTATTTTACGTATTATTTTATCTATATTTATGTTTATGCAACTTATTTACGATTATTACCTTTGAATCATTTGGGTGTCGTTTGTTTGCGATCCTCCTCCGGCACCGGTACTCTCTGGACTCGAGAAAAGTGCAGGATCTGAAATGTTCCAGTTCTTAGGAAACTGTTGGAGTCTCTTAGACGGATTGTTTAGAATTTGCATATTGAACTGTTACCCCGGATAATCTGGGTCGCTAAATAAAAATGTGTCCATTATGAATGTATTTCCATTTATTAATTACCATTTTCAACAATTATAGAGATGACGCATGCACGAGACGTCTTGATTACTAAAAGTCTGAGCGTATATTAGTGCTTTTCACTTTTTCATACAAAGGCAAATTCTAGTTTTTTTGTCTTATTTTACAAAATCAATACACTGCCATTTTTTGGTGATAATCCGAACTGAAAAGCGGATGAAGAGCTTTGTCTTAGAAGAACAAAAATATTGTTTTTTAAACGTTTTAAAGATTTAATTGTCATGATGACGCAAGTTAAATGTGATTTTAAGTGAAAGAATCCTGTATTGTTTTGTTGGGATTATGTGCTGTCTCGCATTGACATAGATTAGCGAAAGGGTTTTGCACGTACAGATATATAAATAAAGAAAACGATTACACGGAAAACGGTTGTATCCAATTAACAAATAAAACGGTTTGATCCTTGAACTGAGTCACCAGTTCGAATTGAATTTAATGTTTATAATATACCACAAATATTGTTAAAACCCCATTCCCAACACAATAAACACATCGTGTTTTAAATTTCCATCCCATGCAATAATTGAGAGCGCGGTCCATTGTGTTTCATAATTAGACAGGTGTGAAATAGTTTTTTTTACAGAATCAGATGACCTTGCTGTTTATATACATCTGAGACAACATCTATTTCTGGACCTTGCATTCCACTGGTAACGCATTTATTTCGGTTGAGTATTTAAATAAATTACGATAGATATATTTGAATAAATACTCCAATGAAATGGGATCACCACCTATAACTAAAATTTAAAAACAAACAGAAAATACAGGAAGCAACCCACCATTCAGGCAGTATCCTTGAAGATAGAAACAACGTTATAATTATCAGGCATCAACATAACTGGTCGTTTTTGAATTTACTTTAGTTTGTTTGAAACAGACGTTACTTTCCCACCATTAATCTGTTGGCAATCTTTAAATATTCATTATGTGCTCATTTAATTCTATTAAACTGGTCTGTTAATATTTCGGTTGCTGATGTATAGCCGTATTGGATACTGTGCAGACATTAGTGCTGTTGGCAAACATTAACTACATTCAATTTTCCTGCAAAAGGTTTAATATTTGTTAGAAAAAGGACAGAAAATTCGAAAAATTGTTATTTATTGTAACGTCCCGTAAAATGTTTCGAGTTTGATGCTCACTTTAATCATATTCTGTTTGTAATTAATTTAGTTCTTTTTCTGAATATATTTCAGAGTAATAACTTCAGTCATAGCATTAATAATTGACATGCAAATTTCTGCTTTTTTCTCCTCTGTGTTTCTGTGGGCTGCTTTTAGCAGTACAATAATACCGAATTTATTCATGAAAATCTGGCGCCGTAGCGTTTTAAGAAAACCTTGTGATTGCTGAAAAAATTCGCATTTTGTCGAAGCTTTTCGTCTTGCACCTCCTCAAGAGAATTCGCAAGCATTGCGAAAGTAAAGGGGAAAATCTTGTTAACGCCTCAAATGCACGGGATAATTGTTTTCGGAAAGAGAATCTTATTTCGCTTTGAAGATGAAGTTCTCGGTATTGATACATAGGTGATTCTGGAAAATGTTCTGGTGTTTTGGCCACATCTAATTAAGTGGGTAACGAGACTCATGATAAAATCATCGCCAATCGCTCCCAAAGTTTTAACGCCAAATGCACTGCAGTACGTTACTTTCCTGATCTAATCTAGATTGTTGCTGATATTCTGTATTTCTAACAAACCTGACAATAATATTTGATCCGCGTTTGTTCCATTTCATTACGTAACGCAAATGATGTTTTGATTGGTTTTTACTCCAAAGGTTAGAGAATTCATTTATAATATTGACTTGCATTTTAAAATTATGACTCTATAAAGATCAAAACCAGCTGCTAAAAGGGTTGCTGCTCAGCCAATGAACATTGCATCTTTTCGGCTTTAATTCCGTTTAATACATAACGTAGAGGTTCTGTCCTAAGGTGTCAGCTGAATAGTTATCTCAGCACAAGAATTCTGCTAATGACGGGCATTGTGTCTCATGTTCTTTCTGACAGTTGGGACCTCATTCAAAATAATTATTATTCTACATTTTTGTTAGTTTGCTGAATAAAGACGTAAGAATATCCTTTACGTATTAAATTACCAGTGGAAATTTCGTTGATTTGGAGTTTAAAGTAGCTATTTATGTACATCACAAACCATATACATTGCAATGTCTGCTATTCTATTGCTGTAACACTACTCCACATAATCTGGGTGATGTACACTTACCAAAAGCGATTAGAACTGAAACCATGTATAACTTTAACTGACAGGTCGGCATTCAGACGGGAAGAGCTAATTTAGCTCACAACTCAAAAGAAAACAGAATGAAAATTAGTCTCTTCTGGCAATATAACTTGATACTGATTGTCAAAAAGGATTTTGTCTGCAAAAGAGTTATTACTTCATCCTTAAAACAACAATCTTTATTGCAGTCAGTAAAACAAAACAAGTTAAACATATATTTGATTAATTGTGCTTTCAGAAAGAAGACATCAATTAACCTTCTGGAAGAATCACTTGGATTAATTTATGGTTCTACAGAACATTTCTACAGTTTGCACTCAGATTTCTGTAACGACACTTAAAATCCAACAGCTTTTCTATTAGTGATAATTCAGTTTGGATGGGAAAATATGTATGAACCGCATTGTTCAAATCAGATTAAAACTTGAACGTATCATTAATGTATCTTTCTTCTGTTAAATGCAGTCTACATGGGTCACAAAATAGGATGTGGCCTCTTTAAGAAGGTTGGCACGGGTGTCCCATTACTTGTTAGTGAGTAGGGCTACACAAGTGATTAATTGGTTTTCCGTGTAGAAACTGTCAGCACTCTGTGCTGTCAATGAATGGCTCCAGAGGCTGCAGGGCTCATTCAGGTGTGCACTCAACGCTGTCTGCCAGCAGTGTTCGAAGTTGAAATCGTTACAAGCATTGCTTTATAAAAGGTTCACCTCAGTGGCCAGAACGGGTCCATTGCTGAATTCTAACCGGCGGGAGAACACGGTTAGATATGGAAAGCTTGTCATAGCGCCTGAACCAACCCTCGACAACACACAGTGTATCGGTTATTCGATTGATGCAAAAAGGTAATTTCAAAATCTATTATGTAACACAGGGGCCCGTTTTTCTCTCTCCTCGGTCGGTGAATCAGTGAACGTTCCACATTTATCACACACCATTTTGCTTTTAGAAAAACGGCATCAGTTCGCATTGGAAGAGTAACT